AATAAATTGAGAAAAACATCGGAGATTAATCAAGGATAAAGCTGAGAATCGAACAATTAGCATTGAAATGAGTCAGTGTTGTTGGAAAGAGGAGCTACAACGATCTCTAGGCCAAAGAAAATCATGAGAAAACGATTGTTTTTTAAGCTCAAAGATTATCTCAATGCTAACCTATTTTTCCGGCTTTTAGTAGGTTATTTAGAAGTTTGTACACAGCGCTATGAGTAGTGTAAGTAATGGAAGTTTTATGTAAGTAATAAACCGATATTGCTTGTCTTCTAATATGCAATATATAGAGTTTATGGTGATTTCGAAACGAGATCCAGGTGATTTAATGGACAATTAAACCTGTAATCAAAATCATAATCCGAATCTGTAATCAAAATCTGCTGAATAGCTTGCAAACGCAAGATTTCTGGCATTGAAGTTTTTTCTACACTCTTGAGTCTTCCTATACTTTCCTAAATACGATTCCTTTCAGCAAAAAGAGCAAAAGCAAACATTTCGTCATGTGAGGGATTCGAACCCACCAGAAAACAGGTCCACAGGCTTTGTAGCCAAGCAGACTATCCACTACACCACAAGCGTCGATGAAGCTCCTCGTGTGAAAGGGGATGGTATACTCGACACTTCCCTAGTTAGGGTAATGATTGGTTATAAAACTGTGGTGCAGAAAGTGTTGTATATTACACTGTAATACTGTACCGTAGTATCTCTAAGTACAGGTACTTTGTAAAGTACTTTGTACTGTACATAGCACTATGCCTACTGTACGTTACTGTGCTTTTAGAAACAACAGTAGAGAGCTAGCTTTTATTATTGTGTAGAGTCAGAAAGCATTTTAACGTTTAGCATTTAAAGTACATAACATTTTAACGACTTTCTGACTTTAACAATTGATATATTTAAACATTTTTCAAATCACATTACAAAATTTCTAATCACATTTCATTCAAATGCCTTTGCAAAAGTGAAAATTGCTTTGCGGGTACACCTCCGCTTTTAATCGAATTCTGGCTTTGAATTCTTCGAACTTATTCACTAAATCACAGCAGTTTGACGGGTTTTTTTTGGAAAAAAAATCGGCGATAATGCGTTGTTTGGGGAAATCCCCCAATTGATGATGTCATTGTGATGTGGGAGATGTTTAGCGAAGAAGGGAAATCATTGGAAAAGATTGGGGAAAACAGGCTCTCTGGTTGGCTTTAAATGACTATTTTTGATGTATTGGATTCTAAAAATAGAGATTAAACAGTACTTATCAATCTGCGGAATTTACTGTTTCTTCGTCGAACTCTTGAGAGATTTGAGAACTCTGAGAACTCTGAGAACTCTGAGAACTCAGAAGACAAGTTGGATAAGCTTTAGGTAAAGATGGGCAAGTGCTTTGGAAAAAGCTACAATACGTGTAGTACTATGCACAAGATAAAGCAGTACTTTGCATGCAGTACTATTAGTGCTATGCACAAGTCAGCCAATTTACAGCACTCACAGTACAGTACTACAGCCGTACGTAAACACCAAAACTATGCAACAATGTACCAAAGCTTTTAACTGAATCATTTGAAACTTTCTCCAACTTTACTGGATTCTTCATCTGCGAATTATCCATTACAAAAAGAGAAAGGATTAAAACTTTTTGAAGTGCTTAAAAGTTTGAAACGATAAAAGGATTAAATCTTTGTTAAAAGCTTCCAGACTTTTACCCTAGACTTGATTCAAGACTTTCTCTGCCACGTAATTGATTTCAAATTTATCAAAAAGAAAACGATAATCGAAAGTTAAGCTAAAAAGCTGTAATCTGAATAAGTAGCTGTTTTCTAAAACGTTAAATCTTTTTGAAAGTACCTTGCTTTAGTTGCTCTTGTCTCTAGTTTTAGCCTCTAGTTTTAGCCAATCTTTTAGCCAATCTTTTATCCAATCTTTTAGCTAATCTTTTAGCTAATCTTTTAGCTAATTCACGAAAGATACTGTTCACAGAGTTCAATTGATTCAGAATTGTTGCCTGTTCGTCGCTGAATTGTTCGCGATGTAAGTTTTTCATCAATTTCTCACACGAGTGGATTCGTTCGCTTTTCGTTCGTTCGAGTGGATTAATCTTTTGCAACTTCTTCAAATCTCGCATCATTTCAGGTGTGTGTCTCCAATGTGCAAAAGAAAGTAGCAGAAAAATAACTCAATTCCTGTCCTAAGTGACCAAATGAGAGAAAAGAGCACTAAAAAAAGGAAAAGAAATTAAATCGCCGAATAATTTCCTTTTCGATCACGTCACATTTCCCGCAACTGCCCTTTTCTCGTTTTCCCCTTTTTTTATATGGGCTTAGTTGTTAGCGAGAACAAGAGATGTTTTTAAGATTGTGCAACTTGTACAACGGTAGTTTGTACTGGCAAAGGGGAAGGTATTCTTGAGTTATTTGCAAGTGAAAATGAAGTACAGTTGTAAGAAGTGTTACAGCGCTGAGTACAGGGAATTTATGAAATCAAGGTATGTTAGGATAACATCAAAAAAAAGTTGAATAAAAGTTGAAACATGGAAAAAAGTTATCTGCTAGCTTAATAGTAAGCTCTTTCACTAGACATAGAATAGAGTTTAAGTCTGGAAAGGTTTTCAAAGCTGTTTTTGTTAGAAAAGCTTCAATTCCTGAGTGAAATTGAAAATTTTTTTGATTGTGAACAAGAGTTGGTAAGAATTTTAGTGAACAGTTTCTTTGATTTTCTTCAAAAGAAAGCTTCAAAAGCTGAAAACAATTCATCCTTTTGTTCAATCAGTACTCAGTACTAGTACTTCTTAAGGTATTGAGTTGGTGAATTGAAAACTGCGGGCTATTGTCAGATGTGACAGTTTGAGCACTTTCTTCAAAAGAAACCCATTTTGGTGTCAATGGAAAAGTTGTAGAGAATCAAAAATAAAGCTTATATCCAAATTTTCAGAACGATTCAAAAACTAGTTTTCAAGAAATGCCAAATTTACGAATTTTCACGAAACTTGCATTTGAAGCGAAACTACTAAGTGTATCTTTTTGGAAATTTGGCTATAAGCCTAATTTTTGATTCTCTACAACTTTTCTATTGACACCAAAATGGGTTTCTTTTGAGGAAACTGCTCAAATGCTCAAACTGGGACATCTCCACTCTCACAGTCTCACACTTGTCTCAGACACAAACCAAAATCTTAAGAGGAATCCGTTCTTTGTACACGCACACAATCGCTCTCCACCTGGCAAATGGGGCTTCCATAAGGGACTTTCCTTTCAGGTTTGGTAAAGTATCGGGAAAAAATGGGATTGGAAATGGGACGGCTGGGCGGATTTTCCTTGAAGGCTTTTCGATTCAAAACCAAAATCCTACTACGAAAGAGGAATCCTCAAATTGCCTGTAAAATGGGCAGAAGTCAGAAATAATAATGAAAATTATTTGGAATGAATTGATGGTTTTATGTTGAATAAATTTTAGTTCAAAGCCACGCAGTTTTCAATTCACAAACCCAATAATTGAATTGAATTGAAACTCTGAATTGGAAACAGATCAAAGAAATCTCTTTCTGAACCCAGGACTTTACTTGATCTTTTCTGAGTTATAAAAGTGCTCTGAGAACTAGCTGAACTGTAAATATCAATGATTTGAAGTAATTGAAGCTCTGAATTGGAAACATATCAAAGAAACTACTTTAAGCAAGCTAAGAAAGACTAAAAAAACCCTAAAAAAACAAATTCCACGATTTCTGTGTCTTGTGACAAATTTCACTCTTTCAAAAACAGATCCTTTATTCTTTTGACAAATTTGACAAACAAACTTTTGACAAATTTCAATCAAGTAGCAACCTTGAGCTTTGATATTTGTTTATCTGTTCATTGTTATCTATTCATTGTTATCTGTTCATTGTTTATCTGTTCATTGTTTATCTGTTCATTATTTATCTGTTCATTATTTATCTATTCATTGTTATCTGTTCATCAAATTGAATGCAATTCCTTTTTCCATTATAATCTTTTTATTTCAATACCCTAACACCAAAAAAACAATAAGCTCGCGAAAAATCCGTAAAAATATTAAGCAAACAAGAGATAAATGACCAGAGATACCAAAACCCGCATTTTTTAGAGGTACCTGTAAAAAATGGCATCATTTGGAATGATTTTGAAGAAAGAAAAAGAAATCTATTAACTTGAATTCTTTTGATAAAAAAGGATTAGAAAGAAAAATGATCATAGTTTAAAGAAAATGAAAAGAAGAAATTGATGAATGAACGAATCTGGACAACGAAATGTAGTTAATGAAAATTATAAACAAAAATGATCATCTATTTACAGAAAATAGCACCTAGAAACTGAAGATAATACTTTAGATTAGATTTTCTGCGATCCCGACTACTGAGTAGGCTAAACAAGCTTGCTAAATGCATAGAATTAGACTTTAGAACTAGTGCTAGCAGGTTAAGTAAGCTGGCAGTAAGAGTAACGCTCTCGGTACGGTATTGGTCTAGATCTAGTACCTGGATCCAGGCTAGTACCTGGATCTAGGCCATTATCGTATCTCACTCCAGGGTAGTACTTAGAGACCTATAGAGATCTAGAGCAACATTTCTTGATACAACTCTTTGCTCAAGACTTAGGCTGAACCTGAAGAGCTACTGCTTACTAAGCTCAGAGTAGTACCTTGAGGCTAACTCTTATTCCTTCTTTCTTTCTTTCTTTCTTTCTTTCTTTCTTCCTTTCTTCTTCCCTTCTTCCCTTCTTCTCCCTTTCTCTCTTTCTCTTGGCAAGTTAAGGTACCGAATAGCTTAGTGGTTAGAGCAAGCAAAAGGTCGAGGGTTCAATCCTCTATCCGGAAATCTCTTTATCATTCCTTTACTTCTTTTTACTGTCAACTCCAATAAGTCTACTGTCAGGTTCACTCCAGATTCACAGCTTGATTAGCCTACTATTTAGATTCATACTCGCAAAAAAACTAGAGATAACAGAAAAGTACAAGAAAAGTACAATAAATCTGAAATCAAATTACTGGGGTAAAGATCGTCGATGCACGTGTCTCCTTGCTCGATGATTGTTGTCGAATAGAGAAAGACACGATTCGAATTGTTTGTTTTGAAAGCAATTCCGTCTGAAAATTAAAAGTTAAATAAAAAATGCTCAAATATAGATTTCAACTTCTACACTTTCAAATCTAAAGCTAGCCCTTGCTTGCCAGCATTCAGCTTAAGCTGTCAGCTGTCAGCTTGAGGATTACTCTTGAACTGTAAGAGTAATCGGTAAGCTAAAGTGCATGAGTGCTCAAAACCAGGGCTAAGCCAATTTCTCCGCAAAACACACCTGCACTCGAATCGCAAATTCGGCACCGTATCCGAGAAATATTCGTGACAATGCGAGCACACTTTCTCCATCAATTCTTTCACCGGATCGTTGTTCATAAACAATTTGCAGTGTTCATCCTAAAATAAACGATATGAAAAGAAAGATCTTTAGCTTATCTTTAGCTTATCTTTAGCTTTATCTCAAAATCTATTACCAACCGAGATCTGTTTTCCTTCGGCTCTTGCTTTTGCAATCGGATTCGTCGTCTCGGTGGAATAAATAATTTGAAGGAAAAAGCACAGTAAAACTATCAAATGTGGGCACATCTTTGAGAAAATCGTCAAAGTCGTCAAAGTCGATCGTCAAAACTGAACACGGGTAAATGAATGAGTGATCAACGAGGAAAACGAGGAGTATTTAAACACCCGGGAAACACTTTGTGAGTGAAAAGGGGAAACCCTGTAGCAAAGGGGGCGGGGCTTAGATTTTGCAAGACCTATCCCTCCCTTTTTTTTGTCTCTCTCAGTCAACCAAATCGTTATGTCGCTTTTTGCAAAGGTTAATTGCATGAAAATACGATTATTTACGAAATGTAGGCTTGGTAGGGATACGGTATTGCCAAAACAGACATAGACAAATAATGAGACAGAGATTGAATGGATTTCAGTTGATGGGCTTAAAGGGCAAGCCTAAATTTGATGATTAGAATTCTATCTGGATTTGTTCACTTGGGATAAGAGGCTAGTTTGGCCGAGATGCGTCCCTTGTCGTGTAGCTCAACTGGTAGAGCGGTCGCTTAGTAAACGGTCGCGGGTCTTGAGAGGTCGCGGGTTCGAATCCCGGCATCGACCAGTCGACCCTCGATCAGCCTTAACTTTCTTTTCTTAACTTCAAGAAGTTAAGAACTCAAGAATGAATCGCTTTTTTTAAATTCAGTAAGCTTAAAGCTTGAAATAAGCTTAATGATATTCAGCTGAGATTCAAATATTCAGGTACAAATATTCAGCTAAACAATCAAAGAGAAAACAAGAAGCCAAACTTTTCATTGTTTGTCGAAAAGTTTCATAAAATGAAATGCTCAAGAATTAAAGAAGAAAACAAACCTTTAGAAACCTTTCCAAATCACAAGATTGAACGATTTCAAATAATAACTTGTAAAAGTTGAAACTTTTTCGCTTTTCATTTCATTTTCCAAGGATTTCTTTGTGATTTCTTTCCAAGGATCCCTTCAGAAAGCTCATTTGACAGGTTTCTGCATTTTATCTTTTATCCACCCACTCACCGCACCTCAAATTTCCCAAAATTCACCACCAAAAATAGCATCTAATCCGCCATTTTCCCCTTTTTCTTGTAGTTGCATATATGGAAATGAATGGGAAAGAAAGTAATTCGTGAGGTGAGGTGAGTAATTCGAAATCGTTGCATTAAACTCCACTACAGCTTAGCTGAGAGATAAGATTCAGCTATAAGATTCAGATTTGCTAATTTGGCTTTACTCTCATTTGATTCATCGCCGATTTTTCTGCTTTTCTGCTTTTCTGATCGAATCGCAAATGTTTTTGGCTAAAGAAAGTCTTGACAAAATTTGTGGGGATAAGCTCGAAATGAAACTGAAATGAAACTCAAAGTTGGGCTCAATTTAGACTACTCAACTCCTCATAAACGTATCGAAACTGACTATTAAAACAAATTGATAGACTAAAAACAAGCAAATGATTCAGGGAGTTTTTAGGGAAAAGAGATGAGCAGTTTGAAGATTCTGGATTGATCAGAAATCAGCCTCAATCCTTGCCAAGTCTTCGAAAAGCTTCAATATTCTCTTAAGTGTCTTAGGCTTAAGGCTTAAGGCATTAGGCCATATTTTAGTACAACATTGTGCTCTGTGATTGAATTGAAGCTTATCAAAGTCCATATTTTGTATGCTCCATCATCGAGCTTCGAGAGCTTCGAGAGCTTCAAGAGCTTCAAGAGCTTCGAGAGCTTCAAGAGCTTCGAGAGCTTCAAGAGCTTCAAGAGCTTCGAGAGCTTCAAGGGCTTCAAGAGCTTCAAGAGCTTCGAGAGCTGAGAGCTTCGAGAGCTGAGAGCTTCGAGATTCGAGCTTCGAGAGCTTCAAGCTTCGAGCCAAATTTTCGAAAAGCCTCAAATTTATCAATGTTGTCTTTTTTGAGAACACTTTTATACATTTCAGACTAAATTATTGCCAATTATTGCCACAAATTTTCCCCGCACAACATTAAATTGCAAAACCAAAAACAAGAGCTCTTTAAGCTCTTTAAGTAAACGAAAACATGTGCGCTAGAAAAGCGGCGTTTACAAGTCCAAACAAAAAGTAGAAGATGAATAGTTTGAAGATTCTGGATTGACCAGAAAGTGCACTTTCAACAAGTCTAAAAGTACAGCAATTCTTTTTCAACTTTTGAATTGGATTTTTTGGACATTCAAACATTCAATTGATATTTTGTGAGCTTATAAATCTCTTCATTCAATTGTGAGCTTATAAATCTCTTCACAAGCTTCAAGAATCTTCAAATCAAATCACAAATCTTCAAGTAAACAAATCGAGAAGACTAGAACGAATTTGACCCTCAAACTGCAAGAATTTCATTTTTCAAGAAATTCCCTATCTTTTTCTATTACTTAAACGAAAGATTTCACTCATTTCACTTCCTCAATCGTGAAAAAGCTCTACATTTTTATATTCTTTTTTTACTAATCCAGTCTATCTTTCTTCGCAAAAGCTTTTACAGAAAAAAAAAACGAGATTTTTTAAAATGACACCACTTTTACAAAGGATTAGACCATTCTTGGAGCATGACTCTCATAAAAATTTCATTTTATTTCACATCTCTTTGTTGAAGAGTACGGTGCCTAGTGCTTAATGTAACACGATATAATTTAAATATCACTTTAAAGGAATAAATGCGGATGTCTAAAAGGAAAATGAGAGAAAAGAAAGGGTATTGCCTGGTTGGTATTGCCTGATTGGTATTGCCTGATTGGTATTGCCCGGTTGGTATTGCCCGGTTGGTATTGCCCGGTTGGTATTGCCTGGTTGGTATTGCCTGATTGGTATTGCCTGGTTGGTATTGCCCGGTTGGTATTGCCCGGTTGGTATTGCCCGGTTGGTATTGCCTGGTTGGTATTGCCCGGTTGGTATTGCCCGGTTGGTATTGCCCGGTTGGTATTGCCTGGTTGGTATTGCCTGGTTGGTATTGCCCGGTAAGAACTCTATAGGGAATACAGAGAATCAACAAAGTTCATTTTTGGAGCATGACTCTCATAAAAGTTTCATTTCATTTCACATCTCTAATTAGTAGATGTTTCTTTGCAAGATACTTCGATTTAGTCTTAGCTTTTTGAAGAGTCAGGTGCTTGGTGAAAAACAAATATTGTTGCAGAATGTTGCAGATAATAAAGTACGATATTTTCTTGCTTGATGAAAAAGCAATTGTTTCAAAAGGCAATTGTTTCAAAAACAATACATTTTAAGTAATTTTCAATAGTCTTTTACTTTAGTTTTACTCATAAAAAGTAAAAAAAGAATGTTCTTCAAATGAAAAATGTTTCTATTGTTTCAAAAACCTTTATCAAAAAAAAAAGCTTTATTATTACTCATATGATTGGTAAAGTTCAAAACAAAGTACCTTGAAAACCTTTTGAAAAAACAAAATACCGTATTTTCTTGAAACGAATCAAGAAAGATTTTCATTTTTCACAAGTAAAACATTTATTGGTTGGCTGCTGCTTGACAAAATGATTATCGGACATTTGATCCGCGCCCTTCGCTTTTCCCATTAGCAATCTAACTTTAAGGTCAAATTTCTTGGTGTTGGGCTATTCAATTTAAGTATTCTTGGTATCATTAGATGCGCCAAGTCTTTCTCTATCGATTGGTATAAAAACTATTTAAACTGAACAGCTGAACATCAAGAAATTTGAGTTTAAAATTGGACTGCCAATGGCAAAAGGGGCGGGTCGCGTATAAAAGGTTTGTCGCCTCGCCCCCTTGCCATTGACGATCCAACCTTGAACTCAAATTTCGTGGTATTGGGATGTCCAATTTATATATTCTTGGTATGATTAGATGCGTCAAGTCTTTCTCTATTGATTGGTATAAAAACTATTTAAATTGAACAGCTGAACATCAAGAAATTTGAGGTCAAAGTTAGATTGCTTATGAGAAAGGAATATCAAAGGTATCAAATGTTCCAAAATCTGCCAAAATGTCAACTTTTTGTCTAAGTTGAGAGAAAACAGCAAAGATGGCTTATTGTTAGATATTTTTGAGCTCAAAGATCTAAATGATCTGCCCCTTGACATTAGCGAACATTTCTCAAAGTTTCTATTAACTTTCCTATCATGTATTGAAATTTCTTGGCGTTTTTTTGGCAATTAGTTCCGGCTTTCCACAGAGAAAATGAACTTTCAACGAATCAGTTGAGTTTTTGCGTTTTTTCTTTACATTAGTCCCATTAGTCCCATACATTAGTCCCAATTTTCTCTTTGTTTCCATTTCACCATGGTTTTCCCAAAAAAAACAGGTGTTATTTTAATTTGGAATAATTGCAGTTGATCATTATGAAAAAAAAGAGAGAAAACAGAAAAAGTGGCTTTAGAAATTCTTTGTTTAACTGAATATCTTTAACCAGTTCAATAGAAGATATTCAGTTAACAAGGCTGTCTGAACCTCTGCGTCCTAATGATTGTTTTTTGATGTTAACTCAAGTCTTTAAGAGTTTTTGTTTTTTTTTGTAGAAAGTTCTTGTTAACAAGGTTTAAGAGAAGATTCAGGACTATTAAATGACTAGGAATAGTTTAGTTTATCTAGTTTATTTAGTTTATCTAGTTTATTTAGTTTATCTAGTTTATTTAGTTTATCTAGTTGTTTATCTAGTTTATGTAGTTTATTTAGTTTATCTAGTTGTTTATCTAGTTGTTTATCTAGTTGTTTATCTAGTTTATCTAGTTTATCTTAGAATTTCCATCAAATTATCATTAAAACAGTGACTACACGACTGTACACTGAAAAATGCCATTATCACGAATGTGTAAAACATTTTGGTGATTAAATAGTTTGAGGAAATGAAAACCCATTCAAGTAAAGGAAATTTTTGTTTCAAAATTCTAGATTTCCGTCTAATACTATGTGATTTTTCAGAAAAAGTACTGAAAAAAAGCTATATTTTAAAGAAAATCAGCTGGATTAGGGAAATGATGTGTGAAAGTATTCAAAAGCGATATGAAAAGATTTCTTGTTGCAAAGATTCTCATAATTCGACACAATGCTTGTCTCTTCTTCGAGTAAAATGAAGAATTAAGTGCGCTA